AAAACCATGGGAGACCACATGCATGGTAGCTTTAAAGTAATATAAGTACTTGTACATGTGCAATAAAAGCCATCAAAACTAGCCAGGAAGGATCCACCCTATAAGAATGGAGTCCCTCCTGCCCATGAAGTCAATGTCTGCTTGGAGTTGGCCTGCTCCCACGTTCTCTGCTATAAACTCTGTGTATTCATTCAGTTCAATTCTTGGTCCCGATCACCAAGAACCTGGTTGCCTGTGCCCACCTGTGACGTAGCTATATGTGCTTCTGTGTTAACTCATCTTTTGGTTGTTGAATAACCATTACCCTCCCTGTCCTTTTTCCTTGCTGACAAAATGCTAAACTGCAAGGGATAAAATAAGACAGAAGTTGTACCGGGTGGCCAGGACTGCCATAACAGAAAACTGCACACTGGAGGGCTTGAACAGCGGAGACTTCTCAGAGTGCTAGAGGCTAGAGGGCCAAGTCGATGTATCATTAAAAGTAGTTTATGGTGAGGCGTCTCTCTTGGCTTGCAGAGGCCACCTTTTCACTGTGTCTTCATGTCTTATTTCCTCTGTGCCCATGTGGGGAGAGGTCTCTGGTGTCTTTTCCTCTCCTCATGGGGACGCAGTCCTATTGGACTAGGGGCTCACCCCATGACTTCCTTTAACCTTAATTACCCACCTAAAGGTCCTACCTCTAAATACACTCACATTGGGGGACAACGCTTCAACATATGAATTTCAAAGGAACACAGTTGTGTCCATAACATAAATTTATTTTTCTACCCCAAGGAGTCTCGGTTGGTGATCTGGGGCTGGTATGGCATATCACAATGTCAGGGAGGCCTGTCTTCTTTCTCTGCCTCCAGTGGTCCCCATCCCCAAGTTCACCTCTACTACCCCATGGCTACTCAGGTCTACCTTTGGGCTGGCAGAAAGGAGAAAAAGGACAGCGAAGATCCTTGGCTTCCTCTCTGCTGACACTTTCCAGAAGTTGCGTGGATCAATACCTCTTGTTACCTTATTGGCCAGAGTTAATCATGTGGTCACTCCCAGCTCTAAAGGAGGGTAGAGCATGCAGTCTTTACTTGGGCAGCCGTGTGCCCAGTTAAAATGGAGGGTTCTTTTACTATCATCTGCAGAAACTTACTCTAACTAATAAAGCCTGGGCTGCATGTAACCTTAGGAAAATTACTTCCCCTTTTTGAGCCTCTCTTATAACACCTCTCTTCTAAGAGAAACTAGTCTGTGTTGGACATGTGGTTTATTCATTTGCCCCACAAATGTTCATTGAGCACCAACTAGGACGCAGCTCATGGGACAGGTATTGAGGACACAGCAGCGAGCCATACAAACACAGTCTATGCTCTTCGAGTCAAGAAACAAATCGGTAATAAGGAGAATTCAAACAGAGTGACAGGATCAGAGGTGACGGGGGTCTAGGTATGTCAATTGGGTAGTCAGAAAGTGGTAGTTAATCTGAAAACTGAATGACCTCAAAGTGTTCAATCAAATAGTAGCCATTGTTTTTAGCTATTATAATGGAAAAGAAACAATTGCCTGGAGTCCCTTCCTGGTACTGTGTTAAGTGCTTCTGTGTGAAGTCATCTTTTGGTTGTTGAATAACCATTACCCTCCCTGTCCTTTTTCCTTGCTGACAAAATGCTAAATTGCAAGGGATAAAATAAGACAGAAGTTGTACCAGGTGGCCAGGACTGCCATAACAGAAAACTGCACACTGGAGGCCCTTCCTGGGCCTGCTCCTGGCCCTACCTTCACTTGTTCTGTGTCCTTGAGCAAGTCACTTAGCTGTCCTGATTCTTTGTTTTCTTGTTTAAAAAAAAATGGCCCCGCCCTTTTCTTCCTAAATGGTTGAGTCCTAAAAGGACTAGTGGGCAGTGCGAGGCAGGCGTCTGCACGGTCGCAGGTCGGGTGGGCGGCCTGGGGAGCTGCAGTGAGCTGTGGCGGGACAGGAAGATTCCCACACACGGTCACAGCCTGGCACAAAGAATTGGAGGCCCGCTGGGAGGAGGGCATCTCTGTGAGGTGTGACCTGCTGGGTGTCCTCAGAGCCCTCAGACATTGCTGCTGGGAAGGGAAAACTATGCAGACGCTTTGGAAATTTTTTTGGCAGCTCGTCAACAAATAAAACAGAATAACCTCACGACAGCAATTGCACTCTCAAGTGTATACTCAAGAGAATTGAAAACCTGTTCACATAAAAACTTGTCAATGAATGCTGACGGTATTATTCATAACAGCCAAAAAAGTGAAAGAAGCCAGATGGCCATTAAGTGATGGGCAGATAGACAAAATGTGGTACATTCATACACTGGCATATTATTCAGCTATAAAAATGAATGAGCCCTGGTTGGTGTATCTCTGTGGACTGAATGCTGGCCTATGGACTTCAAGGTTGCTGGTTCAATTCCCAGCCAGGGCACATGCCTCGGTTGCGGGCCAGGTCCCCAGTAGGGGTTGTGCGAGAAGCAACCAATTGATATTTCTCACATTGATGTTTCGCTCCCTCTCTTTCTACCTTCCTTCCCCTCTCTCTAAAAATAAATTTAAAAAAATGAATGAAATAATGACGCATGCTGCAACACCAATAAACCTTGAAAACACCGTGCTGAATTAAGAAGGCAGACGGGAAAGGTCCCATTTTGTTGGGTCCCATTTATAATATCCAAAATGAGCAACAGTGTGGAGTCGGAAAGCAGGTCAGTGGTTAGACAGGGATAGAGGACGAGGGGGCCGGGGAGTGACTGGCGGAGAGTTTCTTTTCGGAATCATGGAAATACCCTGGAGTTAGATCACGCGGATGGTTGCACAGCATTGTGAATATCTTAAAAATCGATGATAGTGCATTAAACTGGTGAATTTTACGGTATGTGAATGATAGCACAATTTCAAAATAGGACCTAATTTTTCACTGTTGGAGAAGGAAGATACAAGTATAGAGAGGGAGAAAACTAAAATGGATTCTGAGGTTTTAAAGTGGAATTTGAGGCCAGGTGTGAGTTTATGGCTTTAGACAGACAGAAAGACAGAGAGAGTGTTAAATGTGTGTGTGTGTGTGTATTCCTTTCCCTTGTCCACTGAAAATACCTGCGAGAAGTGACATCCTCATGCAATGAATACAACAAACAACCCAAATTTTGGTTTCTAAATACCATTCTCCCCTTGAGGACTCCATCGGGAGTCCAAGGAAGCAGGTCGCCTTGGAGGAAGGGCTGATCCCGGGTTGGAGTGGAGACGCTGCGAGGTGAGTCTGGACACCATGTTGTGTTAGAGAGTAAGGCAGCGTCCAGAGAACACTGTCCAAATCGGGGCCATTTGGGTACCAAAATAAGTGGTGATAGTCATTGATTCAAATTCATGAAATAAGCTGGGAAACTGTGAGTCCATATAGGTATAAATCAACAATGAAGTAAATAAAAAATACCATGAACAGAATATTTACACGGAGTACCTCCTCACACAATACTAATTACAAAAAGAAGCAGAATGGCCTCCTAGTGGAAAAGCCTGGCAGATACCACTGGATGAAGAGATGAGTGATGAGCATCGTCAGGAGCGGATGCGATCTACACAAAGCTGCACCTGGTGGGGCACCATGAGAACTCAGCCCCGTTTCTATCGCGTGACTGCCAACGAAGCAAAACCTCAGCAGAATCACGAGGAAACAGTCACACCCATACCGAGGGACATCCTACACAGTAACCAGCCTGTACTCTCCAATGATGTCTATGTGTCACGCAAGCCAAGGACCAGCTGTTTCAGATTTTGGGAGCCTAAGGAGGCTTGACAGCTAAATGCAACAGGTGATTCCGACTGGATCTTTTCGACATCAGGGACATTGTTGGGACAATCAGGGAAACTCGCATGGGGTCTCTGGATTAATTGGCGTTGATGGCCTGATTTTTTAAAAATAGTTTTAATGTGGCTGGCTGTTTCGGGGGAGGGTATCTGTGTTTGCAGGAAACACACGCTATAGTATTGGGGGATGGTACTTCTGACTGGCAGCTTGTTCTCAAACGACTCAAGAAAAGCTCCGTGTCTGTGGCGTGCTGGAGCGCACTCTGCGCCCACCTTTCCAACTTGAGTTCAGTAGCATCACATGGGTGGATGGAAACGGCTGGGTGGGATTGTTTATTTACACCATGGAAATTTGCAAATGGTGCCACTCAGGCCTTTTTGGCTCTGGAGAGCCAATCGCTGAACAGTTACTGGCACACCATGCTCTGTACCATCTTTCCAACTTTTTTTGATTCTTTGAAAAAAATATTAAATTTAAAAACGAAAAGGTTTAGTAACAAGTTAGTGTTTCAAACTCTCTTGTGAACAAGTCTTGCAATAAATATGTGAAGAGCATTTGTATAGTGCTTTCTAGTTAACAGAAGTATAACTTTCACTTCATGTTCTTCCCAACGTTGTGAAGTAGAAATGATCATACCCATTGCAGAGACAAGTAAATTGAGACTCACGCAAGTTATGATCTTAAATTTTAGGGCCAGTGGCTTTTTAAAATTCGTCTCTGTACCACGTTGCCTGAGCTACCCTTTGGCACAATTGCTTTGTAAGTGACGGAGTAAGGTCTCCAGGTAGAAAAGGCAGGTCTCAAATCCAGAACTTAGGGCTTTATATCTCAAGTATTTTCCCTATGAAATTAAACTTTAAAACATTCATTTCAACTACACAAATATTGCATGAGTAAATATCCACCCTCAAGTTTAATGCGTTACCAGTAAGTGTGATTTCTCCGTGACCGCCATTAGCCCCCTCCTCTGCCCCAACTCTGTCCCCTCCACAAGGGTGCCTCTGCCGTCACTTTGATGTTCGCCCTCAGGCCTGTTGCCGTGCATTTGTGTTTTGCTCTGAATCACCCCAGACAGCAAGTTTATGACCACCCTTGGCAATCCTGGAGTATTAGTGTTTTCTCTGGAAAAGAGCTCTACCTGCCTTCTCCCTCTTTTCTCTGTTGACCTTGACTTTCCTTCTCTCTTTTATAAAAATAGCATGAAGTCATGTCCCCAGCAGTTGAGCCACCTTCCTCTGCACAGAAGCCTCAAGATTTATTTCCATCTTACCTCGAAGTCCTGGTTTGTAGCCTTGCACCGCCTTGTCCGTTTGTTGAAGGAGAAATAACCAGGGTCGTTTGGCTGTTCCTTGGCAATGACCTCGTACTCTAAAATAAACAGCTATGACCTGAAGAGAGGGGGAAGGAGAGACAGAATATTTTCCAAACATCAGAGTGTGAGGGTAAGGTCATACAGGGGTGAAGGGTGGGCTGGGCATATTTCCCTCTCTTTGTTCACCTTCTGTGGGGACTGTCTTCACCCTACAGAGTCAGCATTGACCATTTATCATCAAGAAGTTTATCTGCCTCTTAAAACAACTGAGCCAGCAACTCGGGAGACCTTACTCCAGTTGGTGTTGGGACTGAGGTCAGAGCATGTGGTTGGCAGGATAAGTTTGCTGGCAAAACCAATGGATCTCTTATCAAACATAAAATGGGACTCAAGCCAAGCAGTTCACCTTAAATTAGACTTTTTTTTTTAAAGGAGTGTGAAGAACATACTACTCATGCACATGTGATCCTTTACTGAGATAAATCTGTATTTTTGTTCTCATAATGGTGGATAGTTTCTCCTCCTCCATCCCAAAGAGGTAGTCAGAAACAGAAGTGTCCAGGTCCCCTTACAGCAGAGTACCCCCTCAGCCCCAGGCCTTGAGCTCCTCTGGGTGACCACAGTGGGATTGTCTGAGAGAGGTTGGGGCGTCAAGGGTTGGAAGAGGCAACCATCACGGGTTGGAGAGAGGGGAAATTTGAGAGAGCTTCCCCAGAGAACAAGAAGGGTGGGACAGAGAAATTCTATGAATTCCAGAGAAGTGGAGTAGGCAGGCCCTCTGATGGAAATAACTGTGGCTGAGCACAGGTAGTTCTGGCCCCAGGCCCAGAGACGCCTGACCTGGGCAAGGACCCCCTGTGCTCACATGTTGCTTGCAGGAGCTAGGTCTGGTGTGGGCCGATGATCGGTGGGTCTCCCCCAGAATGTTCTAGATTGTACAAGACCCAAGGACTTTGGCACTATCCTAGAGAGAGAAGGGCTTCAGAAAATGTGACCAAGATGGAATTTTCTTGCAGTCAGGCAAGTATTAGGTTTAGAGAATAAACATTTTCTTGCACCAGATTGTTAGGGAGTTAATGCACACCCATTTAATAAATGCCAACTTTGATCCAAATAATTTTTATGCTTCTTTTACCTTCAGTTTTTATCTATACAGGTGTATCCCATTAACTACTTTACCAGATTCCAATAAAGCCCTATAACATACAAAATTTCATTTTATCTTCACGTTACACTTTGATGGTGAGTAGATAGGTATTGTCTAATTTGCTGAAATCCAGAGAGAAATCTGATCTATAAATGAGTCTTTCCCGACTCTTTCCTGTGTCCTGGGAGGCCTACGCCTAGGTTTCATTCAACCTTGAGATCCGCTACCATAACTTCCGGTCTCTTGGTTTCCATGGGCCTTACAATTTGCTAACATTTTTCTTCTCTAATTCTTATTCTTTTGATCTGCTTTGACCTGTGCATCCAAGACTACCGCATGGCTATTTCTGTCTTCCATCAATACTGCACGCCTGGGGATTTCTCTGAGTCCCCATCAATTGTAGTCTTGTCAATGTGGGGGCACTTCTGTTGCTTGGCTTCAACAACTGGTTCAGATCTAACAGACACGTCACGAGTACCTCCTAGGTGTCAGACATGGTGCAAAGTACTCTTCACGGGGATGGCGCAACTGGCCTGACTTTCAGATGTGTCACCTAAGGTTCAGAAATGGGAAGGAGCGTGCCCAAGGCCACCCAGCTAAGAAGTGGTAGGACAAGGATTCGCATCTTCCTTCTCTGAGTCTGAGTCTCCGTTTGGTATTTCACCCCATGAGGTGGGCTGACACAGTGCCCGGGTTCTCCGTCCGTGTCCAGATAGGAAATAAGATACATGTTCAGAGGAAGTCTACGCTGTATTTCTCTGAATCCCAATTGAACATTCCTACCTGCCCCGATTGGAAGCCACCCCAGGAGCGGGAGCTCAGTTTTGCCTGTGATTGCAGACACTACAATGACAGCCCTGGCTCTCACAGCTCCGGGTCCCAAAGCGAGTCCCATGGAACAACTGTCGGATGGGATATTTGGCAAACAAGAGATTCCATTGGCAAACAAGCCTGGGGAATGGGGTGCTAAGTATTGTTAAACAGGATTTGACTCTGCAGATGTTCTTATACAAACACGTGCATTTGCATTGCCAAGGGAGGGTGGGGTGGATATATACCACAGAGTTTCCCACAGTTCTTTGTTCATGGGACCCCTTCTTCCCTTTTTAGACAGAACTCCTACCAGGACTGGGACTCAGCCGAGCAGGGGTTTGGAAGCCCGGCTGCAGCTACCTGTTGCTGAGGATATTCCAGCTTTTCCACACATGGACCCTGATGGCCACCAAAATGATCCTGGTCTTTGCAAACAGCCAACGGGAAGACTGAGTGGATGCGTTGTTCCTGGCGGGAAAAGTCCTTTTCTTCGTGTGTAAAGATGGTGGGGTCGACAGGCCACCCCTGGACACTGTGGTTTCAGGGTCCTGAACGGTGAGCGGAGCAATGCCTCGTCCTCCAGAAGGGGAAAGTGAGCGCAGGGAGAGAAGCCAACTTGTCCTAGGTCACCTGGGCATGACTGCAGTCCCCGTGCTCAGCACCCAGGGGCCAAACCTCACTGAGTGCCGGACGCCTTATACACTTCACCTTGTTGAGCTTTTAAGAATGGTAGTGTACGAAACTAACACATTCTTCAGAGTAATTGTCTATTAAGGTAGGATTGCCAGGTCAAGTTCAGGCCAGCCAGTTGAGTTTGAACTTCAGATACACAACAGTGAACATTTCTACTGAACAGCTATTCATTACTTAACTGCATTTTTATTTGCTAAATCTCACAATCTTGCATGAGTCCAAAGCCCTTGGGAGAACTTTTAGCCATAAGCACATGGAAAGATCTTGATATTAGGTTCACATCCTAATCTGGCCGCTTACAGATTCTGTGACCTTGGACAAGTCACTTAACCCCTCTGAGCTGCAGAGAGTGGTAGTAACAGATAAAGAAAACATAGGTGAAAGTTCCTAGTACAGCACCCAGCATGTAGTTGGCACTCAAAGATAACAGTTTTAATCATTATTGTTTGCTTAAAATAATGTTCCTTTCTTAAGCTCTTGTCCTGGTCAAAAAAGCATAAATATGGATTTGGGGGGAATGAATTGGAAAGGTGTACTTGGTCTGGGCAACCTAAGCACTCACGTCACTTTATCACCCACTACGTGCAGAAAAATCCAGAGCAATAAGTAGTATGTGGACTTTGGCACGTGTGGCAGGCACAGCTAGGTGCCTACCAGGGGCAGACCCAGGCTTTGTGGAATCAGAAGTTTATGCATTTTGGTGGTGGCAGGATGTTAAGTAAAAGAATATAGAACTAAGTCTCTAAAATTAGGTACAGAGCACCAGGAAGGGCTGACAAACAAGATACCCTGAACCTTTAGCTTCATCAGTTCTTCAGTAAACCTAGTGTGACACCTGCCAAATGCCCTTTCTGCACTTCCGAATATTTTACAGAACCACATCTTGTCCAGGTGGTGCTGCAGACTCAATGTTTGCATCCTTCTGGAAAGCATGGGTCGAGGCCTAATCCCTAATGTGAAAGTATTTGGAGGTGGGGCCTTTGGGAAGGTGATTTTAAAAACTATTCAGGGGCAGAAGAGCCTTTAGTCACAATGTTCCCTGTGTGACTTCATAAAACTTACACATCTAACGCCTGCCCCCAAAGAACAGGTTCATGCAACTATGTCGTATGTTCCATGCCATTCAAGTGGAATAGAGAGAGTGGAAGAAGCTTGGCTGTCTTGGAGCTTCTGCTCTAACGTTGGGCTGCGGCTCGTTGGTCTATGCATTTTGATCATTCATCGGATGGTAGACAGACGCCATGTTTATTGGGGTCAGACGCCGAGCAGACAAATGGTAGAGTCACCAAAGTCTGGGAGGAGACATTGGCATGTGAGAAAAAAATTAACACTGATAAAAATCCGGGACCCTTACTGGGAATATTTGCATTTTGAAAGACGGTTCACTTCTTTTTACCCCAGAAGGACAGCTCTGCTGGTGGGATTTCAGCCAGAGGGACATATCAATATGGGAGATCTCTTTGGGGTCAGGGGTACCCTTGCAAAGCTACTCAGCCTCATGCCGCTGGCAGCACTTTCTTGTCCTGGCAGAGGCCCTCCGGGGGGTGGGCCTCAGTAACAAAACATTCTTTAAGCTTCATTGTAAGGCAAGATGGAGAAAGATTTGGGGGAGCCCCATTGGTAGGACTTGATCTTTGTACAATGTTGAAGAAATGAGAAGAAAATAACTGAAAGAACATGACATCTGCCCCATTAATAACCATCTAGGTGGTAGAGCAGGTGCCTCCAGGTGTGTCTTGGTTGCCATGTCAACAGGCACGTCATTCAGCACCCACCCTGCTATTTTCGGAGAAACCCTCTCCTCTTCCTGCTGCCTTTTGTTATGGGGTTCAGCTTCCTCAGCCAACTCTGGGTGAGCCTGGGCCCCAGGGAAGCCCTGGGTTCTCTCCCTGTCTCTCAATATCTAGAAACACATCCGCAGGCAGGGAGGGAAAGGCAGCAAAAGATCACTGACTTGAGTGTCAAACCATAGGCCTGTTGCTTCCTGGCTAGGTGGCCATGGCAAGCCTCCCCAGGCCTCAGAAAGCGAGACTAATGTTAGAATTGTCATCAGAGGGATGCACAAGGATCATACAAAATAATGCATGATCGCGCTTTAGCACAGTGGTGAAGGTTCAATCAATAGTAACTTGGATGGTTGTTAATGTCCTGAAAATTCAAGATATGAAATCATTCAAACCTCAGGGAGACTCCTGGACCTGGCATGCACCTTTCTCCCACTGTCCTCTCCCTGGTGGCCCAGAGTATGCTTTGCATATTTCTTAGATGAGGAGGGGCTGTCCTTATGGGGTAAAGCCCCCCACCAGAGGTCGGAATTCAGAGGAATGGAACAGACTGGGTGCTGGAGTCTGATCTCTGCTGTGACTCACCCACTTTGACTTGGAAACTGCCTTTGAAAATGGAGACAATAAAACATTTCCCCTTTTACTGCCCGGCCCTTGTCTCCCAATTTATGAGGTTGACAGGAGCAATGATTAGCTTGTGAACTCTCTGGTCTTTCTTGGCAAGTACCCTCTGACAGAAGTGATGAGGACAGCTGCAATTTATAGGTACGAAGATTTGTTTTCAAAGCAACTCTTCCCAACTCCCAGAACCGAAGACTTTGTTTTGTCTGACTCGGGCAGGTATAGGCGGACAGAGTGTGAAACTCGGTCTTGGAGAACCAGGGGTCCTAGCAAAGGTATCTGTGCCCAGATCCATGTGCTCAGGAGCATTTGTGGACATCAAACCAGCAGTTGAAAGGTTGAACTAAACTTTTGCCAGCCTCTCAGAGATAGGGGAACTGAAGTAGGATTTTGAATTCCATCAAGGGTAGTGACCTTGGTAAACCATTTCCATATTTAGCTGAGACTCAGAAGGGTTTTGCCCTAGGAAAGAGGGTCAAGCCAAAGTGAACCAGCTGTGGCACAGACTGTAGCCAGTCTTCAAATCATCAGGGTGGCCTTCGAATGTTGATCTGTTTAATTCGAGGAAATTGTCCCAGAAAGATAGTCCCTGCAGGTGTCTGATTGACACTAATGAAAATCCTCTTTGGAAGAACCTAATATCTTCTCAGGCCTCAAGTGATTTTAACCAATAAGTTTAAAAATACAGTATCCAATAAGTAATGAAAGAGAAGCAGCACAATGAAGGACGAGGTGCCGTGAGCAAGAGACAGCAAAAACCAACCCCTGGGAACCACTGTGGTTAGGCTGACCAGAAACCAACAGCGAAACAATCGCACTTGCTATGTTCCAGGAGACACAAACTGAGCTGAGAAATTGCGTCAGAAAACAGGAAGTGCTAAAAATGACACAGCAGATTCGAAGACAGACAGGAAAGCTGGAACTGAAAAATGCAAGAGATAAAATGGAGAGTGTAAAAATCAGATTAGATAGAGCAAACGAAAGAATTAACAGCAGTGAACTGTAAGACGCGTCCACAGAAAAATCTACAGAAAAAAGGACAGGGGATCAGAAAGCTGCAAGCTACCGAAGATGAGCATATTAGAATGTTTAACTGAGGGTTAATTACAGCCCCAGATGGAAAATGGGAATGGAGACAAGGTATCAATCATGTCGGAGTGGCTAGTGAGCTAACAATAGGAGCTGATGAGCGGAAGGGGGGCCAGGCCCCTTTGTGGAGTTCCTGCCCTGTGCTGTTTGCTGGGCAGCGACCTTCATACTCATTATCTAGTTTTAAAGAGGATGAAAGCATGAGGCATGCAGTTCTCTCCTTCCCTCTTGGATGCCTGGGAACTAAAAGCCTTGCAGGGGTTTCCTTATGGAAGAACTGTCCTGGAGGAAGAGGGGGAAAGAGAAAAGATGTTTTATATCCCAGAAAAGTCTTGATCTTCGAGCTTCACAGCAAACTCTGAGCCCAAGGAGGAGGGGGGTTACTTAGTCCAGCAAGATTCTCTCCTCCTATACCCCCAGGCGATGAAACAAAATTTGGTAACACAAGTCTGCAAGGCCCTAGGGGGACTAATAGTCCTCGTCCTATAGTCACTAGCCTTCCAAGAAATAAATAACTAGTGTGGTCAAAACGACCCCCTTCTGGAAAGGCAAGAAGAGGAACGGGGTTAAAATCATGTGAGGCTGATTCAAACCTCTGAACTCAGTCATGTACAGCCAGCAGCACTTTGAGTAGGCAATGTATGATATATTCAATTTTCACACTTTACGTTTGTATTAGTTTGTGCAGTAATGCTAGATGTTATAGCAAATATACCCTAAAAATTTCAGAAGTTGAACATGATCAAAGTTTGCTCCTCCCCTTACTGAACAGTCCAATGGGGGCATTCCTGGTAAAGGGGTGATTTTTCTCTATCAGGGGACTCCGTGACCCAGCCCCGGAAGTGCTATATGTCACTTCTGTTCCTATCTCAGTGGCCAAAAATTTGTCCTTGGCCACACCTGGGTGTAAGAGGGACTGGCAAATGGAATCCGTGGTTGGGCATCTGTCTTTAAGCAACAACTTCACACTGTGTGAGAGGAAGCATGGATTTTCGACAGTAAGTGATAGAGACAGGATTTGAACCTAGGGGTCCGCTTGCAAATTTCATGTGCTTGTCACTGTGTCTCACTAGCTAACGGTGATGGGTGAGATATAGCTCCCAATGTCAAGATAAAGATGACATCAGGTGTGTCCTTGAAGTTTTATTTTCAAGAATAAAGTGCTCGAAATAAGCTAGGTAAGCACTTGAAAACAAGTTCTTTCATAAGTTCTTCAAAGTCAGAACTTAAATGCTACATTCTAACAGGGAATGAATCATTCTCCCTGCTCCCCCATCTTCCAACCACCCTGCCCCCCCAGGTGCTCTATGTCACGCAATCTTGCGTCTTTTCCTCCTAGCACCACCGCCGTCTGAAATCAGGCACATA